GCATGCACACAATGTACAACAATATCTGTTTTTTTTTTTACTTGTATTACTGCAGATTTGTATTCCATATTTTATTCCTTTTTATTCCATTCCATTTCTATGTAAATACTGCTATATGTTACGATATGTTTTATTATTTTTAATATTTAGTGGGGGGGGGGTTACCTTGGTTGCTGATTGGCTAATGGTTACACAAGCCAAAAAAATCGTTATGACATCAGAAAGTGGCCAAAATCTGATCAGCTCATTTTCAGTTTTTTTTGTATAAATGGATCAGGACAAAAAGAGAGAGAATCTTTTTTCCTGAAACTTCCAGAATCTCTTTACACAGAGGGGACACATGTTGATGTATACAAAATCTGAAAAAGTGGATTTTGCATAATAGGTGACCTTTAAAGATAACTTTTTTCAGACTAGCATGATTGTAAATGCACCTTTTGTCTGACTTCTGAGAAGGAAGTTCCATATTTTTCTTGCAGGTATCGATAGTCAAAGTTGGGGAAAGGGGACGGAGCAGGGAAGGTTCCAGATTTCCACAACTTCCAGATGTTGATCCCGGCGACGCACAGCAGCACCAAGAAGCCCACCAGGTAGATCCCTAGCTCCCAGCCGTGCGGGTGACGCACCACTGAAACAAAAACACAAAATAATTTATCATTATTACCATTTCATCAATAAAAGATCATGTTTGGCCCCATAACTAAATATTTGATGGGGGAGTTTGATCACTGGTTGACAGTTGGGAGAAACGCAGTGTAGGAAGTTGGAAGAAACTTTGTATTTAACGACACAAGTAGGAGTCTTCACAAACTCAAAACAGTGGTGGAAAATAGTACATTTGTAAGTACATTTACTCAACTGGAGTACTTACACTTTTTAAATATGTATAGTTTACATGAGTATTTCCATTTTATGCTACTATACTTCACTTCAAAGGGAAATTGAGTATTTTTCCTCTGCTATATTTAGCGAACGTGATAAACTTTAAACATAATGCATCCATCAAACCAGTGGAATAACTGTTTGAGTTAGAAAAAAGTTAAACCATCATATATATCACAAAAAGTTAAGAAACAATGTCCTAAACATGAATAATTTATTAAACAAATGTTGTCTGCAACGGTAAAATCATACTTGATAATCTTATAATGTCATCTATAGCTTGTTTTATTCAGGGTTTTCTTTTCTGCAGAATGAGTACTTTTAAATGTTTGCACTTTAAGCACTCTTAATTATGTTAGATTTTGGATGTAGGACTTCTACTTATAATGGAACATGTTTACATTAACCTAGCTGTACTTTTACTCAAACAAAGGATATAAATACTTCTACAGCACTGAAAACTCACAATCACTGAGCACAGTCAAGTGTTGTTATTTTACACTGAGCATTGAGATGACTGAGGGGTTTAAGGGATGCATGGCGTTCGATGTAATAGTGCGGGAGAAGGTGACAAATTGAACAGTCTCTCTGAATTAAACGTCAGAGCATCATGTTGCGTTTAAGAGAAAGATTGCGAGCCTGTGTCGAGATAAATTGCTTCTGTGGGAGGAGACTGACAGCTTTATCTCTGCTTTTTAACACAAGACATAAGCCAATTATAGGGCAAGTTCAAATGTGTCTTCGCTGGCTTTCAGCAGGAGACCAGGTCAGAGGAGTTGTGCAGCTTGTTTAAAAAAAGGGCAATAGCTGTAAAGCAACCTGAGAGCAGAAGCTAAGGTACACACAGCCTCGTCTCTCTAGTCTGATACACACACTCACTGATTTACAACAATGTGGATCAAACAATATGCATTAACCCACACAAGGACACAATGCAGAAAGAAACAACTAAGCTGAAACTACTCACCGCTCAGATGGTAGCCTGATAGATCCCCACTTTCAGCGGAGGACATGGTGCTGCAGCCAGCCTGGAAAAATAAACATCAAAACAACAATATGTTCAAGTGGCCTTTAATGTCAGATACCACAAGAAAGATTTGGTCTTAAAAAAAACTGTACGTTACAAAATATAACAGAAAACTTCATCCATGATGACATTTGGGTGACTTTCCTCTAAAAAACATTGAATATTAAGCTACAATTACAACAATAAATTATGTTTTGCAGTATAATTAAATAACGTTTTGATACTAAGTATTAGCAAAAGCTTTTTAAAAACCAAAATGTTTTAACCTTCTAATCTATGCTTTCAACATGCATCTCAGTAAACACGGCTAAATTGAACTGCTTTTGGCCACGGGGCGATGTCGTGGGAAGCTAACGACTCCTGACATCCTGCTGCTTCAGATACATTACAGCAGGGCTATTCAATTGGTGGCTCACGGGTTCAATGTTTATTGCTAAACGTATTGAAATTAACTTATTGCACATATTTAACCTGGAACTAACAAAGCTTAAATTATTGCCTATCAAAACAACATTAACATTAGACATTAAACATCAGAGTCATTTCTTATGAGTAGGCTACATTTTTCCACCGGCCAACAACAGCTTAAAAAAAACAATTTCCCTCAAAGAGAAAACCAAACATGCCCTGTTGTCTCAAGAAACAAAGTGCAGAAGGAAACATCCGTGGAAACTCAGGTTGCTGCTCTGTGATGCTAGTTCAGATACTTGGCATCTCATCTTGGGTGCAAGTTCATCAATGTTTGGGCTCAGGCTCTGAGCTGAGGAGACCCTCAGGATTGAGTGAAGGTGTGCGTGCAATATACCGGAGGGCCAGATCTAATAGTAATCAGAAATTATCCTGCGGGCCGAAATTAAATCCACCAAGGGCCTGATTTGGCCCCCGGGCCTTGAGTTTGACACATGTGGTTT